CTGCTATGGTACATACATATACAGTCACCACTACACAAACATACAGTCACCACTGACTCTTATTTTCATTATTGGTTGAACAGTGATGTTCATTTGTGTGTTGCCTAGATTTTGCTACTTCAGAGGATTTTGAAATTTTTCACAGATAAAGTGTTTTTGTTCCCCTCCTGTGTGGTGATACTCATCTCTGCATAGATGTTTGGGGGGGAAAGTGTTTTAGCAATCCATGTAATATAGACAGAGATAAACAGAGTGGGTGGATTATCTTCTCTGGCTGGCTCACATAGGGATATGCATTGTCCTACCAAAGTCAGGATCACTGTTCATGGGAAACTATATTATGTATCTTCTTGGAGTGGAAGATATTTTGCTATTTAGTTTGCTCTATAACAGCCTTAAAACTTTTGTTCCCAACATAAAGTCCTCCCTCTATTTTAAGAGTTTAAAAAGTGAATGCTGATTGTAGCTCTTTTTTTGAGTGAGATTTATGTTTAAATGGTTCATTCACACATTTACAACCTTTTGACTTTGTTGTAAATATCAGGAACTTTAAACCAAATAATCAAACATTTCAATAACTGATCTAAGTCTTTGACTGTTTTACACTTTACAGAAAGAAATTATGTTGTGAAAGAAATTATGTTGTGTTTCACTGAATCAAAAGGTAAAAGGCACAAATATAGATGTGGAAAAATATAGATAAACACACGATTTAGTATTTTCATTAGCATGACTTTAGGGCAAAAAGCAAAAAAGCTTAGCTTAATTAATCGCTGTGGTCTTGGTTTTCATTGCTTTAACACCTCAGGGAAGAGTCCAGGTCCAGCTCTACCGTTTGGGATTTAACTTCTGGCAAATATGGAAATATAAAGTTGGAAAGTATTAAAGGTGTCAGAGGAAACGGCATTAGTTTAATAAACTCTTAAAGGCACCTTATTATGCAGAACACTGATGGTTAATTCCCGCACCATGAATGAAGAAAGCCAAAACCCTCTGCCGACGTCTGGACAAAATGTGTTGGAGTTCTGCTTGGTCACACACTGCTTCTCATTACAAATCCTCTCATGACTGTATGCAATTTGTGGCCATGCTCTTCCTTTTTGTTAGCAGGCAGGAAGCACCACCTCACCCCTGCTCCTGAACGTTCCCTTTTTTTTAACACCATGGGGACGTGACCCTGTCTGCAAATTGTCGTAATTAGACAGGAACATCTAGAATTATGGGTTTAATGTGCGAATGACGTCAACTCTGATCTCTCAGGCATACAAAGACTGAATTCTTTTTGCTGGTTTAAGTTACTTGAAACATCAGAGTAGAGCAGGGAAACCAAAGAATGCAGAACAAGAGCAGTGAATCCATGAAGGTACTACTAATCCCAGCGCCGTCTCAGCGTTAAAGGGCAAACGGCTGATTAGATTGCTGAAACAGAGGGGAGACATCCTGCAGTAATAATCCTGGCTGTGAGTGGGAGTAGATTGTCAAGATAATGTCTGATGCCCATCTAAGTTATCTAACATAGCAGCATGCTTATTTGTATTCATCTTGACAAGACACACACATCTAAATCAACATTTAGATGACTGCTTTAATAGACAAAGCAGCAGAGATGATGCCTCCTCTGTGAAGAACACAGGCAGCATTGGACTAATCTTCTCAAGTGTCAGTTTAATCTGTGAGGGGACGCCAGGTCTGGCACTTTTCACAGCTTTTTATAGCCCTGGCCAGCACCTTCTTACAGCTGTGAGACCTCTTTATCCAAGTAGGATTGATGAATCCCTACTTTTCTAACACAATTACGCCTTTTACACCAGAGGCCTTAAATGTAATGCTAAAAGAATTATGATACCAGCAGCAAGTTCTGCAACAGCCTAAAAAAGCTGTGAAAATGTTGCTGAAAATAGATTTTTTTTGGGGTGTGAAGGACTATATCTATTAATAAACATTAGCTGACAGACAAACCTTTATATGTTGCAACTAGCAGGTCATTGGTGTAAAATTAAATATTTAAAAAGCAAAAATCATCACATACATTAAACCAAAGCATAATGCCAAATACAAATAATAATCAACCAGTGCTTTGAAGAGTTATTGAATATCCTGCAAGACTGATTTCTTTTCAAATATGAGTCTATTATCAGTATAGCCGTCCACAGGTGCTCAGTTCAATAAGCCTGGTGAAAGATGTCAAATACGAACACTAAAATGTAATTATCTGCAGAATCTTATAAGAAAATATGCAAAAGCATCACCAATATCTTGGCTTCTCTCTCTAGTATAGAAACCTGGAACTAAAGATTGCAGATTTAGACATTTTAAAGGGATATCAGTAGTGCACAGATTTTATGCAGTTCTTTAATCTATAATGCATCAAATGCTTTTAGTGCATTTTTGTTTATTTCTTTTTTTTTTTTAATGGACATATCCACTGAGAAATTTATTTGCCATGCTAAGCAAGAAAACATCTAAAAAAAATCTGCTTTACTTAATTATTTTAGTTAGCAATAATGCATCCTTTATAAATGTGTATGAATTATTGCTGATAATGTACCAGTTAGTCACTGTCTTTTGAGCTGATATTCTACAGTGATAAAATTATTCAAAGATTATTTGAAATCTTAATGTTATAGTGGATGATTTTCTTTTTCCGGGTGGATCATCAAAATAAGTGGTCCTCCTATTTGTCAATCATTCTGGTGATATGTTTATGTAAGGTCGTCCTATTTAAATGGAATGTGCACGAGGAGAAATGGGCTCATGCATGCTCTCGCATATGTTTAATAGGTGTTTCCTCTCCTAGCAGATACAGGGTTGTGCATGTGCATTTTTTTTTTTTTGAAAATCCTCCCCATTACTGTTAATATATTTTGTTTTTTGTGCATACAGCAGTTTTCTGCTTTTCTTTAGACCTAAATGAGTGGAGTCTTTCATTTGTGACGGCAGCCATACTCAATGAAGATATTTTCTTTACCTGACGTGACCATCAAATGAAATAAACAGAGGTTGGAGAAAAACCAAGGGCCTTTTGAGCTCCCCTCACTGTCTTCTACAGGGTATCAAAGTCTGCCTTACTGCAGCTTGAGAACCATGATGCATCACCACAGTCTCAACTAAAGCTATATGTTTTATTTACTATATATTGGAGGTACATTTTTTAAGTGTTAGATTACTCAATTTTCTGCCATACACAGCAATGTCTCTGATGTGACTGGGGGACTGACCGAGGGTCTTAATTGTGAATGCTGAAGCAGGTGTTTATGCTAATTGATTAACTTTTGCGACCCATTGCCTCTTTGCTGCTCATTACTCAAAATGTTTTATTGACGTTATTTACACACCAGTAAATCGATGAGCAGTCCTCAGTTTTAACTAAGAGACTGTTGCTTCAGGTTCTGCAATTCCACTTTAATTGCATACTAAACATACTGTGTAGCTTTCGAGTTACCACAAAAAAAATATTTTGTCTTGGCTGGAAACAGGAGAGCAGGTGTTGGCCTAACAGACAAAACTAATTTTTAAAACCGTAAATAAATAACATTTTCAAAATAAAATATTTGGTTTTGTTGACATATTAAGCGTTTTCTTCTGCTTTTTTGTAGATTTTTCTAAATTAAATTTCTCTGGACATTGAAACTATTTTCTTCATAGACAAATAAAATCTGAGAATGCAAATGATAATTCTATTCATTAAAGTAAAACATGTTAAAAAGCAATGTTAAAAATCAAATTGACTTGGTTTTTAAATTTACTTTCCCTTCACCTCTGGACTCTACACATTACTTAAATTAAACCTTATTACAAGAAAAGGCTGGAGGATATTCTATCCATCCATCCATTTTTTTCCCGCCTTATCCGGGGCCAGGTCGGGGAGGCAGCAGTCGAAGCAGAGATGCCCAGACTTCTCGATCCACACACAAAATGGAGAGGTCCAGCCCCCGACTTAGTTCCCCCTCTTCACCACGACCACTCTGATACAGTGACCACATCACTGCCAACGCTGCACTGATCTGTTTATCAATCTACCGCTCCATCTGTCGCTGACTCGTGAACAAGACCAGAGATACTTGAACTCCTCCACTTGAGACAAGGACACTCCACCAACCTGAAGAGGGGAGTCCACGTTCTCCAGTGGAGAACCTCAGATTTGGAGGTGCTGATCCTCATCCCGGCCGCCTCACTCTCAGATGCAAACAGCCCCAGTGCACACTGCAGGTCCTAGTTTGATGAGGCCAACAGGAAAACATCTTCTGAAAACAGCAGAGATAATATCCTGAGGCCCCCAACCTGGACAACCTCCTGTCTCTGGCTGTGCCTAGAAATTCTGTCCATAAATGTAATGAACAGAACCGGTGACAAAGGGCAGCCCTGGCCCCTGGCTTCCTCCCCTGCCAGCAGATCCAGCTCACTGGAGGATATTTTCCGAGAAAATAAAACCATACCAACAGTCAAACTTGTTGGTGGCAGCATCATTATTGCCTGGTTTGCTTAGCTCCAAGAAGGGGACAGCTCACAGAAATACTTGGAACCATACATTTTGCACTCCATTTTAAAAAAGTTCTGCAGAAGCAACAGCAAATTACTCAAAAAATATATCTAACAAGGTAGTTTGAGAGGCCAGAGTTAAGTATGTTCGTTAATGCTTAACAACCAACCAGTGCAGCTGAGATAAATCAATTCTCCTTATAGAGGGGTACAATATTCTCTCACAGTGACATCAAAAACTGGCAGTTATCACAAACACATGATGGCAGTTGTCATACAAGTTCAATTGGGCTTAAGGTTCCAGGTTGCTTTTTTCTTTTATTGATAAATCCTATTTTGTATTTACTGAAGTGATCTTTGTCAGATATAAAAAATAAAATATTTAAGACATTAGAACAAAAACAAACACCAGAAACAAAAGAAATCGATCTGTAACTCCAAGACTTTTCATATCATGAAAACAATTCAATACAATTTTAATGGAAATTTTACTTTCTAAGTACAAAAAAATAACTCCATTTTTTTTAGCTTTTTATTTTTCCACCAAGAAGCATTCAAATAGTGTAAACGGCTTTAATTTCATTGAAACAGTTTTAAAATAAAAGAAGAAATACAATATTTATTTTTCCTAAAATGCACTTTTGGTGATAGTGCTCACACACTCACACACATGAACAATACTGCAGTCTCTCTCCAATTCCAGCTTTCATTAGCCAGTCATCATTCAGTAAAACAGCAGTGTCCACTTTCAGCATAAACATTGGCTTTGCTTGTTTTCCTGGCAAATATGGCAACAGGAAGTTACTTCAGGCGGCGTACCTTTGCTAGGCAACAATGTCAGAGAATACAGCAAGTTTAATTTGCAGATATCCTGAACAAACCCGGCTCCCCCTCACAAGGCCACTCTCTGCTCTCCACTCCGGCATCCTTCCCAGGAAATTAATTTCCCTTTAATTCCCTCCAACAACATGTTGCTTCCACTATCGTAGCTTCTGCATTTCCGCAGGGTTAGTCCAAATTACCAAAACAACAACACAAAAAAGAAGAACAGCATCTAAATTATGCACAGAATCGGCAAAAGGGGGGAAATAAAATCCAAACCATTTGTTTTCATGGAGCGCCTTTCTCGTTATCTACAGTGAAAAAAATTATGCACAAAAGAAAAAACATCAAATAATAAATAGATTTTCTCTTTCATATATTTCTGTTTTTGTGTATTTACATATATACTGCATAAGATTGAGCCTTGAACTCTACATTAGGATACAGCTCTTGGCCCGGTCCTTCCGGATGGCCGGGGCTTGGTCCGTTTGTTCAGTCCGACTGGTTAGAGGTGGCAGAGGCAGCTGTGACACCCTTTTCAGGGCTTTGCGGGAACTACTGCGTTTTAGCTGCGGCTTGTGTGGCCTCCGCACCGATGCTAGGGTAGTGATGTGGAACACGTCCCGGACGCTGTTCTCAGAAACCTTGGAGGTGCACTCCACATAGGCCACAGCCCCGATCTGTCGGGCAATCGCGCTTCCCTGGAACATTGAAAGAGAAGTACATTTTAACCCAATAGCAGTTACTTGAAACGAGAAGACACTGGAATGAGGATTTTTAAAATATTTCAGCTTCAAGAATCTTTCTTATATTTTATTATTCTTGTAGCTTTTTAAAAATGTTATTCATTTTTTTATGCATGCAAACTTTGATAAATAGCCTTTTAAGTAGGACCATGTTATTCTTTCACTGTAGCATAATCTAAGTTCTGTGGGAAAATCTGCATGCAGGTTTGCATAAAGCATTGAAACAATTCGTCCTAAGCTCAATGGGGAGCAGGGGGCGCCAACTCATCATTGACTGCTAAGTTACAAAATGGTAGAAAGCATGCTGCAAGAAAACAGATCCTCATGCTGCCACTTTCTAAACCCACCTGAGGCATCTGCATATAGAGCCCGTATATATTTAACTTCTAAGCATACAGAGTTTATAGCAATCATTAAAAAGTCGTTTCAATCAACAGCTCCTCTGGCTTTCTGAGGGTCTTTCATGGTATGTTATTTTTAGCATTGATAGAATATTCACTTGTATGAAGCTAAGTGACTCCAGAACAATATTTGTAATTTTGTACGACACTAAATTTGAGCTATAAAAGTTCATGCAAACATTTACAGATGAGTAAGTGTTGTTCTGAAAAGTGCAGACAATTTAGCCTAGAATCACTTTCAAATCACACCATCAGGCATTGTTTCAAACAATCTGGCATAAAGACACATTTGATCGAATTTTTTTTTTT